GATGTTCATAGCAGCATTATTCACAGTAGCCAGGACATGGAAGCAAACAAAGTATCCTACGATATATGATTGGCTAAAGAAGCAGTGGTACATATATGCAATGGAATATTACTCAGCCGTCAGAAGACATGAAATACTGCCATTTGTGACAACATGGCTGGAACTCAAGATAATCATGCTAAACGAAATAAGCCAGACTGATAAAGTTGAAAATGATATCACTTATATGCGGGATATAAACCTAAAAGCGATAAATGAGCAGGACAAACAAACAGAAACTCATGGACATGGACTATAGACTAGTGGTTGCTAGTGGTGTAGGGGAGGAGAGGGAATGTAGACAGGGTAAAGGGGGTCAAATACAGGGTTTAGGGGGAGAGTGAAGTGGGTAAAGGGGATCAAATATATGGTAGCTGAAGGAAACTGGACTTTGGGTGGTAAACACACAGTAAAATATACAGATGTCAAATGATAACATACACCTGAAAATTATATAATTATATTAACCAATGTTACTCCAATAAACTTAATTAAAAATTTTAAAAATTAAAAAAAAACAAAAACAAAATCAATCTATAGAAATCTATTGTGTCTATACACTAAATAATAAACTGTCAGAGAAAAAACAATCCCATTTTCAATTACATTAAAAAGTGTAAAATATCTTGATGAAAAAAGTCGAGAACCATATGACTTCACTCATATGTGGAATATGAAACTGAAAGCAACAAAGAATGAGACAAACAAACAAAATTTTATAGACACAGGCAACAGTATAGTGGTTAATGGAGGGAAAGTGTGGAGGGAAGAGGTAGATAAGGGTAAAGGGTGTCAAGTATATAATGATGGAAGATTTGACTTTGGATGGTAAACACCCAATGCAATATACAGATGGTACAATTATACAATTGTATGTTTGAAACCTATATAATTTTATTAACCAATTATACCACAATAAATTTAATAAAAATGAATTTTTAAAAAAGAGTAAGTTACCTAGGAATAAATTTAACCTAGGAAGCGAAAGACCTGTGCATTGAAAACTATAATATTTTGAAGAAAACGCAAATAAATGGAAAGATATTCTGTTTGCTGACTTGAAGAATTAATATTGCTAAAACATCCATACCACTGTTAAAGAGAAAACCAGAGACTCATGGTGCCAAACCTAGATTTAATACCAGATCACTTTAAATATTTCATGCCAATCCCTTCAACAGTTTCTGTTGAGAAATTGGCTAACAATCTTTTGAGAGATCCCTTGCAGGTAATTAACTATATTCCTCTTGCTGCTTTTAAGATTCTCTCTTTGTCTTTAAGTGCTGGCATTTTAATTATACTGTGTTGGTATGAGCCTCCTGGATTTGATGCAGGACAGGGCAGACTTCCCTAAGTGCAGGTGCGAACGAGAGAGGAAGGAGACCAAGCCTTGCACTGACAGAAGAAGGTCCTTGGCTAAGACTGTAGAAAGAATTCAATACCCACGCCAAAGTTAGGGTCAAAGGAAAGTTTATTAAAGGGGAAAAGCAAAGACTAGAGAAAGCAAAGACAAAATCCCAAGAAAAGGGAAAAAAAGCCCCGAGTGTCATGGGATCCAGTTTATATGTCATTTTTTTAGTTTCTATGAGTTATAGTTTAAAGACTTTGTTCACCCATTTCCTTTCATATGAACATACAGTGAGGAAGGGGAAGAGCATGTAGTGTGAAAGTTTTGATGGCAGTTCCCATTCTTTAATCCACAGGTTCCCTATGGTTTTAGCCACAGGGAATGAACAATTTTATTTGTATAGGGTGGCACTTAAAGGCTCTGTTTTTCCTGTTTCCTTTTTCACAAGTTGAGGAAAGGGGTTATTAACAAATGCAGCAGAAATCTTTCCTGGTTTTGCAGGTGTCCTCCTCACCTGGCTGCAGAGCTGATCAGTATATTGCAGTCTCTGAATGTAGCTTGATTCAACATTTTAATTTTCATGCCTCTTCCTACATGAGGTTCACCTTGTTTGGGACTCTGTGCTTCCTGAGCTTGTATGTCTATTTAGTTAGCCAGGTTAGGAAATTTTTCTGTCCTTAATTCTTCAAATAAATTTTCAATTCCTTGCTCTCTCTCTCTCTTCTCCTTCTAATACCCCATGATGCAAATGTTGGTATGTTTGATGTTGTCCCAGAAGCCCCTTAAACTATACTCATTTTTTTGGATGCCTTTTTTTTTTTTTTTTTTTTTTTTTTTTTGCTGTTCTAATTGAGTGTTTTTTGCTACCTTATCTTTTGAATTGCCGTTTCAATTCTCTGCTTCTTCCAATCTATTGTTGATTCCCTCTAATGAATCTTTTACTTCAGTTGTATTCTTCACTTCTCACTGGTTCTTTTTTATGTTTTCTATTTCTATTTTCATGTTTCTTATCTCTTTGTTGAAATTCACACTGAAATTATTGAGAATCCTTATACCAGAGTTTTTAACTTTCCATCTGGTAGACTGCTTGTCTCCATTTTGTTTAGTTATTCTTCTGGAGCTCTGTTCTATTCTTCATTTGGAATATGTTTCTTTATCTCTTCATGTGGCTGCCCCCCAGAGTTTTTTCTATGCATGAGATAGAGTTGCACTCTGTCTCCCAGTCTTGGCAGAGTGGCCTTACCTAGTATGTGTCATGCAGTGGAGCAGGCTCACTGCTCCAGGTGTGTCTCTTGTGTAGGGTGTGTTGTGCACTCCTGTTGTACTTGAACCTTGGTTGCTGTTGGCACATCAGTGGGAGGGATTGACCTTCAGGCTGATTGGTTGTGAAGACAGGCCATGACGACAATGGAGGAGCTATTGGGCAGGGCTGACCCTATGGAGCAGGATTCACTTTAGCAGGGCTCTGGTGCCTGCTGAGTCTGCCCTTTGGCTGTTTTGTTTGTGGATGTGGTTGGGTAGTGCTCTAGTATGGTCTCTAGTCCAAAGCTGGCCACCAGTATATTGGTTCTGGGGTCTCTTATGTGGATTCTGGTGCAAGCCAAGTTCATCTGCAGCCTGTGCCTTGCCAGGGGCCACTTGGTATAAGCTACAAACTGCTCTGCAGAGAATTTTCCCTTATGCTAGGCTCCAGGTACCTGGGAGAGGCTGAGCTGCACACTGACACCGGCTGCCACCAGTGCCAGGCTATAGGCAACAGGTGCGGGCACACCAAGGTCAGATGCTGCTTGTTTGGGATTCGTGAACCTTTGAGAAATTTTAGAAAAGTCCACAGCATGAGCCAGACATGCCGTTTGTATGGAAAAGCCACTGGAAGTGGCTTGAGTGAGTATGCAAGTTGGGATGGGCAGGGTGTCAGGAAATCACCAGAGCAGGTGAATGGTGTTAGCCAGGTTGGTGGAGACTCAGATATGGTGGTCTCTTAGATGTGCTGCTGTGAGAGAAATGCTCACCAAAGGAATAAAGACTTCTACCAGCACTCCTGACTGGGAGAAAGCAGCCCCGCCAGCCCTCATTCTAAATCCACACAATTCACCTCTTCTGCATAAATCTCTGGTGCCTTTCAACTTGCTACCCCAGCACTGAAGCTCAGAGTGAGTGAATCTTTCAGCAAATAATTCCATGCATGGAGCATTTAAAAGGAAGACCTCGGATTTCAGCAGCCTTCCGTCCAACTCAGCCATGATCTCCACTAGATTTCACAGCCAAAATTTCTGGGAAATTGACACTGGTACTCTGAGCTAGGGAGCTTGGTGTAATGCTGGGACCTCTCTATCTTCAGAAGAACCTCCACAGCTGAGATCTCCCGCCAAAATTTTAGCCACCAAACATGGGTGTCTATACCACACCATCTTTATATGTTATTGTATCAATAGACTTCTAGGATGCTTCTGTATATTGTAAATAATGTTGCAATGAACATAGAGGTGCATATATCTTTTAAAATTAGTGTTTTTTATTTCTTCGGATAAATACCCAGAAGTAGGATTGGAGGATTAAATAAAAATGTCTAATCAGCATGTTGTTTACCTACAACTAATGTAATATTGTATGTAACTAATTTTTGTAAACCCTTATACATGAACATTAGTCCTCTATATTCAATGAGTAGATGTACAGCATGAAAAAGAACATTTTTTTATAATAATAAAATGTGTGGTTAAAATTTTTCCTCTTCGTATGTAAAGTAATCTCTGACACTAGGACCACATAAAGTCAATCTAATTATTCAAATTTCCCTTTCACTATGGCTATGCCACCCTGAATGTGCCCGATCCAGTCTGATCTCAGAAGTTAAGCAGGGTTGGGCCTGGTTAGTACTTGGATGAGAGACCACCTAGGAAGACCAGGTGCTATAGGTGTTAATAAAAAAAAAAAGATATGTCAAATTTCCCTTTCAATGTAGACTCCACTGGGAGATATATGTTTGATAATCAATTTTTGATTATCATGCTACTGAGGTTTACTACTGGTGTCCTGGTGTTATTCTTCTGCAGTGGGGACAACAGGCCAAATAGAATAACACCAGGACATCAGTAGTAAAACTCAGTAGCATGTTAGAGTTAACATTACCAGTAAGAGCAGTAAAGGTAGTGATGTAGAAAAGAATGACAGCCCCAAATTGAAAACTTTGGCTTCAGATTTTCTTCTGCACTAAAATTAATTGCCAAGTGTAGTTTTTTTCATGTGAGTAATAGAACTCAAGATCATTCCCTCAAGAAAACTATAAAAAATTACTTAGAAAGATACATTAAATTTTAGAAAGAATTGTTTTTAAGAAATACTAATTATCCTATGAAAGAAATAAAAATTTTTAAATATTTCTCAACCAAGATTGAGAGAACATGAAGACAAGAGGAAAATAGAAAAATGGAACATTGTGCATACACCAGACAGAGCTAAAAGCTTAATCAAGTGAGTTAACAAATTGTAGAAAGAAATTTAAAATAAAGATACGGTCATTCTAAAAAATAAAGAGAAAGAGTAAGTGCTTTTTCCACAATTTGAGCAAAAAATTATAATTTCTGGTTCTAAATTGTTTTCAGCCCTGCAATCATGGGCACTTGTTTAATTCCAAATTGATAGGTCTTTTTATAGCCTCCACCCCAAAAACTCTTTTTAGACCCCCTTTTATGTCTTTATTCCTGAGACTGTAGATAAAAGGGTTCAGCATGGGTGTGACCACCGTGTACATCACTGAGGCTGCTGCACTTAACTGAGAGCTGTGGGTAGCAGCAGAGCTGAGGTACACTCCTAGGCCCGTACAGTAAAATAAAGAGACAACTGAGAGGTGAGACGCACAGGTAGAAAATGCTTTATACTTCCCCTGAGTTGATGAGATTCCACATATGGAAGACAATATCTTAGAGTAAGAGTAAAGGATACCAGCTGGAGGACAACCACCTAGCAGCCCAACCCCAAAATACATCACGATGTTATTTAAAAAGGTGTCAGAACAGGCAAGTTGGACTATCTGTTTGAGTTCACAGAAAAAGTGGGGGATTGCTAAGACTGTACAGAAAGTCATCTGCAAAGCCATTAAGCTTTGTAACAAGGAATTCAGGACACTCATAATCCAGGACACCAGAACTAGCAGTCCACAGAGCCGGGGGTTCATAATGACTGTGTAATGCAAGGGGTGACAGATGGCCACAAAGCGGTCATAGGCCATCACAGTTAAGAGACAGACATCCAAACCTGCAAAGAGTAGGAAAAAATACATTTGTGTGATGCAGCCTTGATAGGTTATAACTTTGTTCTGTGTCAGGATGTTCGCCAGCATCTTTGGGATGGTGCTGGAGGTGAAACAGATGTCCACCAAGGACAGGTTGAAGAGGAAGAAGTACATGGGTGTGTGGAGGTGGGAGTCTGAGCTGATGGCCAGGATGATGAGCAGGTTTCCAAACACAGTGATCAGGTACATGGAGAGGAAGAGCCCAAATATGAGAGGCTGCAGTTCTGGCTCCTCCGAAAATCCCAGAAGAAGAAATTCTGAAATTTGTGTATCATTGTCTGGTAGCATGTGGTGTTGGTCACAACTAGAAAAAAAAATAACATGATTAATTTTTACACATAGGGTCATTAACATAATGAACTGCTAGAATTTATATTTTTCAGCCAAGGAAATATTTATATTGATCATATTGTCTTTAAGGAAGGTGACACCTGTTGTTAGGAATTCCTGTCCCACACTCAGTGTTTTCCCCAACAAGTCATCTAATATACCATATTAATGCAAAATTTTTCATTCACTTGAGGAATTTTTGTTAAGGGCTGACCATCTTCTAGGATAAGAATTTACAGTGTTGAAAAACAAAACTCCCTACAACCCAATGATGGGAAAAGAAGATAAATTAAAATATATATATATACCATGTCAGATGATGACCAGTGCTATGAAAAAAAAAACAGGTATAAAATTTTATAAAAAGAAAGTTATATTTCACTGAAGTTCAGGTAGACCTACAAACAAATCTTCATTTAAACAGAGTCCTAGAGGAAGACAGAATGGGAGTCAGGAGGTTATCTCAGACATGTGTGCCTGTTGTGGAAAGAGTCAGTGCAAAGGCCCTGAGGATGACATTTGTTTCAGATACTCAGCACTCAAATAGAAGACAAACGTCCAGCGGAATGAGCAAGAGAGAGTGATGAAAGATGGTGTCACAGACTATGGAGGAAGGATATTCTCCCTGCAGCTGCTGAAACTTCAAGTCACGAGAAGACTCGTTCACATATTAGTCCTTTTACAATTTTTTTACACCTAGTGCACCTGGTCTTCCTAGGTAGTCTCCCATCCAAGTACAAACCAGGCCTGACCCTGCTTAGTTTCTGAGATCAGACAAAATCGTTCAGGGTGGTGTGGCCATAGATCTCCTTTTACATTTTTCAGTCTCTTAAAGAATTCCTATGATTTAAAATGATCCCTTCATTTCCACCTGTTGTTTTACATTGTGTCATCCCCATTTAAGGGACACATTTTCAGGTATAGGATCTTGGATCTCACTACCCAGAGGACTGCTCATGGCTCACAACAAACACACACTTAAACAGCACACTATGATACAGCACACTATGGCATCGCAGAGCCATGTTGCTGCTGGGCTTTTCTCACTTCCAGCCACAAGAATTAGAAAAGGAATGATACAGGCATATTGTCGAAATCAACTTATCTCGACCATAAAGAATGTAGAAACAGTTCCCAAATTCAAATTGTTAAGCCTCCCATGAATATGCAAACATGGAGCTTCATTTTCCTAAGACCATTTTGTGCCCTGTATTGAAAATTGTTAAAAAGCATTTGAGAAAAGGTGAGAGAGACAAAAGACCTAATGGCTCAGGTGGTCCCTGAGTGATTGTGATGAGGAGGAAGCTCTTTGGTTCTGGCAGCATTCCACCCCTGGTGCTATGTCCTTGATGCCCAGAATAACTAATAAAACAGCAAGAAACAATTTATCCGAAAGAGAATGGAGTGATATCTTTACCATGCCAAGACACATAACTGATTGAACACCACTAGAAAAATAAGCAAAGGGGATTAACACACAATTTTAAAATATATATATATATAATCTATAACAATAGAAGAGGACTTCTAAAGAAAAAATGTTAAAATTTTAGGTGCAAAACTTTTTGAATCAGAAAAATAAATGTCAGTTTCAAATCTCAATCTGCCACGTGTTAGCTGCTTGAACTTGGAGAGGCAACAAAATCATTCTAAATTACTCATTGTAAATTTAAATACTCATTCCAAAGCTTAGCACAGTTCTTTCCGGTCACTAAATGGAATTTATTATCACTGGTGGTGATATTTGGCTGATTTTTTTCTTCTACATCGCAAGTGTCTCCATTCCTTCCCTACATGTTGGTAACAGAATATGGCAAAGTAATGCTGGGTAGCATAGATTTTTGACATATTAAATAAAATATTTTATGTGAATACCCCACATAAGTGATGGTGCTGTGAAATGTATGTCCCAAGAATTGCTGTTGCAATGTAATATCTACTTCTATGGGTCTGGGTCTTCCTAATGAATACAGAACAACTCAAATACACCGTACCATGAAAAGGTTTGAAAATGCCCTCAGTTACTCTATATTTCTACTCCCCTTAGCTTCAAAATTTCTCTAATATGTTCTAATATTACTGAAACCACTTTATGCTTCCCATCAGTTCCTCATCTCATCCACCTGGACCTGCATTCCCATCACTTAATTGTCAACAACTACCCTTCTACTGCTGATTCAACAGACACTTCTCTTTATATCATATTAAAGAAATTAATTATACATTCTTTAGTCTACCTAGCATGCAAACATGGCAATCCCTCAGCTATGAGCTGGGCTGGTTAGGCTCTCAGGTGACCTCAAGCTGAAGTTCCTTCTGACGTTAGTGGGCTCTCAGACTCACCTAGATGGGGTCTCTGATAGAGAGACTCCGTGTGGAAGTCTGAATTCCTCCCTCGATGTTTGGTGACAAACACCGAAGGTGTGTTCTCAGGCAAGACAGCAAGAAGGAGTGAAACATTGATTCCCAACCAGACTTAGGAATCCAAAAGCAACAACTATGTTCTCTTCCACTCAAGGTTGCACAGCCTGACACTGCAGCACAAGAGATATTTACAGCTTCTCATACCTGCTCATTCATTGTTAGTCCCACCTCTGAGTATATCATTTTCCCATGGGATACTGGTCTGGAAAGAAAGGAAAATTTCCTTCTGATATCTGTTCCCAAAAGACCATAATAGAAATCAGGTGAATCCTATTTTTATTGTTCCTTCTCCATGAACATGTCGGCCTTCCAGTGATCTAATCTCCTTGCACTTTATCCTAACCTGGAGTTGATATTTTCTCCAAATCTACATCTGAAGGACCTCTCTAGACTAAGTCCCATGGACCCCCAAGGTATTGTCTTATGGCAGGAAATAGTTCTTGATATCCCTCTTAGTAACCCCTCTTCAACAGGACAGTGAAGTGTGTTCCTTTGCTACAAAACAATGTGGACTATAATTCTTGGCTTTTGACAATTCAGTTTGGAGATTCATGCTGTATGTGAGCATATGAATCTAGTTTAGAGCTATCACTTACTTCTTCTTAAAAATGTTCAATGGTAATTATATTTAAATCTTTTTATGCACCATGAACTGAGCTTGAAATCTTACATGGATTATCTTATTTCATTTTTACAAATGTCCCTTCTTTGTGGTCAGTACCATTATGAACCACATTTTACATTTGCAGTAATGGAGCTCAGAAGGGTTAACTCAACTCAAGGTTAAGTGATCTGTCCTAAGTTAGGAACTGAGAAAAGGATCAATTTTGATTGGAATTTCTTCAAGATATTTCCAGTTCCTATACCCTCGGCCAGTGGGTCTGACTAGGATGATTTTGCCTCCAAGGAGAATTTGCGATGTCTGAAGAAATTTTTGTTTGTTTCTACTGGGGAAGTGCTATTGGTACCTAGTGGGTTGAGGCCAGAGATGCAGCACAACATCCTACAATGTACAGGACAACTCCCACCACAGAAAATTATCCAGCAGAAATGTCAACAGTTGTGAGATGAGAAATACCATGCTTCACCAGAACTTCTCCAACATCAGTGAGTATACGAATCTGTTGGGGACATTTTTCAGATGTACATTCTGGGACAGGTCTGGGGTAACTCAGAGATTCTGCATTTGTAAATAGCTCCTAGTTAATAAAAATGCTGTAGATCCTGGTCTGTAGACCATCTGAGTATCATGTTGTGGTCCAGCGTTCCATTTGAGAGTAAGAACTTTTTGGCCTATCACACATGTCATGTTAACCATAGGTTGTCAAATCTTAGACTCAGTAGCTCAGCTTATATACACTCAAGTTTACTCGTGCCTTCTGAGTATTTCCCTCAAAGCAGGAAATAAAATTTTAAGGTCTCTGGTTCCTTATCTATAAGTAGTGAAATTCCACCTATATTCTAGTGAGAGTTAGTAACATGTTAGAGCCAATGGGAAATTACTGGCACAGAGAGGATGCTCAGGCTATAGCAGCAGTTGTGACTATGTCCCAGTTTGACACTTATCAAATTCACTGTGACACTTGAGACAGGCAGTGAGTCCAGCATTGCCCTGGCACTGAGAGACAGAGAGCTGTCATTTTGAAGGGGGACCTCCTCCCAGGGCCCCGCACAAGGAGCAGACAGGGGCCATTGATCTATACTGTGTTGTACTCAGTGACATCACTTCTAAGCACCTCACACTGGCTTTAAAGTTGGCCACAGTAAGAATTTGTAGGTCCCTCTAGTTGTTGTACTGTGTCCTGTAGTTCACTCTGGGGAATATCTGCAAAGCTGCTGTTTCTTTGTAAATCTAATTATTCCTTCATCTCTTCTTTTCTTCCTTGTTGCAAGTCTACAGCGTTTATCTCTTAAACTTTTGGCGTCATTGAAAGCATAAAATGCTTGTGTGTCCATTTCTGCCCCAAGTAGAATTTGTTTCATTTTTCACAATTATTGATTCACTGCCTCATTTTCTTGGGTCTGTATATCTCCACCCATTGCTTTGAGTCTTGAAGATGCCTCTAATGGAGGGAGTGTGTGTTCTCATTGTTTGGCTTTGAATTGGACGTGAGACATGTTTTGGTGGATAGAATTCAAACAGACATGACCTGCTCAATGCCTAATAAAAAGCTATAAGAGACAATGTGAGATTGCACCCTTTTTCTTACTCTTCTCCTATTTCATGGGCATGAACACCTTCTCATACAGGAGCTGTTTCATCAGCCCAGGTCCCAGAATAAAAGCACACACAGAAAAGCACAACTAAGTCAGAGCCACAGATACTCTGCAGTATACATGTACTGTGATGAGCAATAAATTTTTGTTATTTTCAGCCATTGTGATGTTGAGAGTTACTCATTACCAAATCTGACTAATATACTCCTTTGTGTGATTCTTTTTATTAAAATTATTGAGGTAACATTGGTGAATAAAATCAAGTAAGTTTCCAGTGTACAATTCAAAATTATGTCATATATATAAATACATACATA